GTCGCTGATGATGTGTGCCCAAGCGTGGATGCAGAAGCCACGGTTTGGCTTTATACCCAAATCAGATTAGAGTGCAAGAGCAGAGCACCACACTCTACAGAGTTCAGCATGAGGCCTGCATGAGTGTATTATCAACTTAGATCGCGATCTGGAAAGGACGGGGCAAACTCGAAGCAAGGCCAGGGAATATCTTCCAAGTGGTTGGCTTGAGTGTGGCTTCCAGGTCACAGGGTAGGTGAAAAAAAAAGAAAGAAGAGAAGTTGCACATTTTGGGAGGCCGAGACGGGCAGATCAACGAGGTCAAGGAGATCGAGAGAACCATCCCTGGCTAACACGTGAAAACCCTTGGTCTCTCTAAAAAATACAAAACTAGCCGGGCGAGAGTGGCGGCGGCCTGTAGTACCAAGCTACTTGGGAGCTGACGGCCGGAGAATGGCGTGAACCAGGAGGCCGGAGCCTTGCAAAGTGAGCTGAAGATCCGCCCTTGCACTCCAACCATGCGGCAGAGAGAGACTTCACCTCAAAAAAAAAAAAAAAAAAAAAAAGAGACAAATGGTTTGCATTCTTTATGGATTTCTGATAGCCTCTCCATAGGAGGCGTCATATGCACTGATCTCATGGAAAGAGGAGAACTTTGGATACTGGGGGGCAGTTGCCCTCTTTCCGCTTACTCCTCCTTAATTCTTCAGTGGTTGGGGGCTCCAGCTATTTTCCTTTCACATTTCCCCCATTTTCTCTTTAAAATCTTTTGGAGAAAGCATTTTAGAAGAAAATGAGTCTGTTCCCAGGTTTCGTCTGATCTCTCACGACTAGGATGGTTTATTCCTAGACGGGAAGGTCCTGAGTTATTAAGAAAGCTCATTTTTAGCAAGTTGTGAAGTCTCACGTCCTAGGAAGAGAAAATAGGGGGAGGAAGAAAGAAAAACAACAACAAACCAAAGAATAATCCTGCAAAAATTGACACAGGCCACATAACTTTAAGTCCATACATCGGTAGATGGGCATGAAAGTAGCTTATGTACATAAATAGGTTGCTGCTATTTTCTTCTGAAGTTTAAGTTGTCTGGCTTCAGTTCACAGGGCTTTAAGAAAGCACAGCTTAGGTTTTAGTGACTCCAAATTAGGAAAAATGAGGGGGGTGGGTGGGCGTGGTGGCTCATGTCTAAAATCCCAGCACTTTGGGAGGCTGAAACAGGTGGATTACCTGAGTTCAGGAGTTTGAGACCAGCCTGGCCAACATAGTGAAACCCCATTTTACTAAATAATACTAATAATACAAAAGTTAGGCAAGCATGGTAGCATCCCAGCTGCTAGTGAGGTTGAGGGAGGAGAATTGCTTGAACCCAGGAGGTGGAGGTTGCAGTGAGCTGAGATCACACCACTGCACTCCAGCCTGGGTGACAAGAGCAAAACTCCATCTCAGAAAAAAAAAAAAAGAAAGAAAAGAAAACAGAAAAATGGGGAGGGGGCAAGTGAAGGAAAAAAAATTGCAAACATTATTTTGAAGACTTGTAGCCAAGGAAAATTAGAATTAGGTCCAAACTGTAGAAAATAATAAAAATTGAAAACATTAGGCAAGACTAGAATCTAAAAACAGGTGCACCATAGTTTTGAAACATAATTTTTCTCTCTCCAGTTTCCCATTTTCACTAAAGACAAATCATGGTAAGACTGGTTTGCTTTATTGTACCTGGCCTAATTATTTGCATACAGTACAGCAAGAATAATTACTTTTTACATAGGCTTTCTTTTTTTTTTTTTTTTTGAGACGGAGTCTCGCTCTGTCGCCCAGGCTGGGACTG